TTTTTCCCTCCCTCGACTTCTGTGACTGTCCGTTCCTGGTTTTCCAGCATGTCCTTTGGAGGCTCCTCCAACTTTCTGATAGGGCTCCCCTTCTCTTCTTCCTCTATACCTTCTCTTTGGGTAATCTCATCTGCAAACACAAACTACCATTCCCTAGGCTGACAACTCACAGATCTACCTCTACTCCAGATCTGTCTCCTTCCGTCCAAGCTAAAATCTCAGCCTGTCTCTGACACCTTTGGCCATTGGCTCCAGCTCTACATGGCTAAAACAGAGTTCTTAATCTTTCTCCCCAGCCTCTCGATCCCTATGGCTAGCTAACACCACAATTCTACCTGTCACTCAGGCCCGTAACCTGGGCGTCACTTCAACTTGGACCTCTCTGTAGATCCTCAAATCCAGGCTATGCCCAAATCTTGTTGATTCTTTCTGCATAACATCACTAAGATACAGGTCTTTCCTAACCACTTACATAGCTAAAACTTGTAGAGGCTCTCATCCTCTTGATTTCTTCAACTTTCTTCTCTCTGGCCCTGACAAATGCAATCTTGCCCCACTCGTATCTGTTCAGATAATTTTCCTGACCCATTGCTTTGACCATGTCACCCCTCTTCCACTGATCCCCCCCTTCTCTACTGCATTAAACAAACAACTTGTCTTCACTTTCAAGGCTGTTCAGGGGCTATCTGGACCTATCATATCTTGTTCAATATTGAGATGTCAACTCCTGCCTCCAGTGTCCACTTGTTACATTTTCAAACAGTAACCTTCATGCTTTTTCCTCATACTTAAGAGGGGCTGACTGTAAACATCTGTGAAGCTACTTTAATTATCTTCCTTCAGAAACCCTCAATATTATTCTTTGCCGTGATGCCTACAAAACCTAAGGGTTAGGCTACTAGTGAGCTGAGACCATTGCCCATCCTGCTGACCAATATTGTCTCATTGTTTCCTTATACTCCATCGGTCATATCATATACCCTGATTGGATGCTCTCAGGGGCATGGACCATCTTTTTGTTCTGTGCTTGTACTCAACAGGGTCCTCAGCCATGACTAGGGCTCCTAGGCGATACGGTAATACTAAACATTTTAATACAGAAAAGGCATTAAAGCTGATATGCTCTCTTCTAATGAGCAGAGATAAGAACAACTCTCAGTAAACTGGATGCGAGAGAAAGGAAGGACAAGACAAGAGTGCCTATGCAGTGTGTTCTCATTCATATTCTTTTTGGCTGAGTAGTGGGTAAGGCGTGAGGCTTTGGCACAACTCCCAATATTCCCAATTTCTGAGCAGCTTCAAACATAAAACAATTGAAACAACTTGCTAGGGAAATATTTCTTTCCCGCAAACATAGAATTTCCCGATAAGTGTTCTGATATGAACTGTACAGACAAACATTGTCCCTGGCTCAAAAAACGGATAGCTAAGAAGTGACATGACACAAAGGGTGAGGAAGGGAAGTCAAATATATACAACTTTTAGAAAGATCTGCATTTTAAGAAGAGTTATGAGTGTTTATCAACCAATCTGCCATTCATGCCACCACTGGTATAGGTATCATAGCAGACGTGAGTCTCATGGAGAGATTTGAAGATAGTGGCTTTGTGGATCAGTTCAGAGGGAACTGATGCATAAGGAGCAGCACAGAAGAGAGTTTGTTTCATGTTTGTACATGAAGTTAAGAAATGAACCGAAGCAGCAAAAGCCAGATAGTGAAAGTGAGGAATGGATAGTGGAGACAGAGTTCTAAAGGGCATTTCAGCTGCTTTGCCTCACCTTAACACTTGATACTGATATGGAGGGAGCCAGTGGAGGGGCTCAAATGGTGGTGCTGAACAGGAGCAGAAAAAATGTTATACAGATGTGATGATCTGGGGTATAAAGATTTGAGCTGTCACATTATTCATGAATAAGGCTAAGATTTTTTTCATGGAGGTCATGGAAATCATGGAATCTGTGACTTCTAGTGACCTCTGTGAATTCAGCCCTGTTGGCTGGGAGCTGCAGGTGGTGGGGGGACCCTGCAGCTCCCAGTGGCCGCAGGAGCTGGGCCCCTCCCCCCCATAGCTCCCAGCTACCACAGGCAGCTATGTCCCCTTCAGAGCTGCTGCGGCTGATGTAGATTGTGGGGCCTTCTGGAGCTCTTGGCTGCCAGCGGGGCGGGGGACCCGGAGCTCTTGGCTGCCAGCGGGGTGGGGGTCCCGGGAGTTCCGAGCCGCTGAGGGTGGCAGGGCCTCCGGAGTTCCAAGCCACCACAGGACCAGGGGTCCTTCAAAGCTCCCCACAGGCGGTGGGGGCCCCCAGAGCTCAAGAGCAGCCCCCACAGCTGCCCAACCTCTGCAGGTGGTGTGGGGACCCCACGGCTGAACTCCCCATTTTGTCAGAGATATTTTTAGTAAAAGTCAGAGACAGGTCACGGGCTTCCGTGAATTTTTCTTTATTGCCCGTGACCTGTCCGTGACTTTTACTAAAAATATCCCTGACAAAATCTTAGCCTTATTCATGAGTGGGACATGTAGTTCTTCCCAAACAAGTTCTGATAAAACCTCTATAACCACACCAGCATATAGAGGCCACGTATGCAATAGCAAAAACTCAGTGACCTACACATGATTTTAGGGTCCAGTTCAGAGGCTAGAAGCAAGTGGTAGGCCCCATCAGGTCCCTTATCAATAGCATAAACCTCTGCAGATCAGATCTTCAGCATCTCAGTGGTAGAGGACTGAATAAAGTACCTGTCCTTGTCTTTGGCCAGGAACAAAAACTCTACAACTGGAAGGAAACATGGCAGCCTTTAGAAGCTGCTCAGAGGTTTGCAATCAGGCACCACCAGACGGATTATCAAGTAAGGCAGTCAAAAATTGATCAATTAGTTGTAGAACTGGATCCGAATTTATCCAGGGATTAAGCCAGACCCACTTCCCTGCTGGGAAGATGAGCATGATGGCATACCTACCAGAGTTTTGTCCCTGGATCTTGGTCAGTGCTCCATTGTTTGTAATGATGGCAATGTCATATACCCAAAGCCCTACAAGCTCTCCTCTTGCAGCTGAAAGGGAGAAGAAACATGCGTCTCTGGTCCAACCCCCAAGTCCAAGCTGCTGTGTGGGTATAGGTCTTCTGATCATTTACCCCTTCTTGAGCATATTTTTGGACCTTCTGCTTCAGTGCTAGCCTTTACTGTTGCTCAGAGCTTTCCTAAGATGTAGTGGAGTGAAACTGACCCAATTTTTGGCAGTTTCACTGCCCTACACCAGTTCCCAACAGTAGCAGGGAAGAGGGAGAACATTAGTCAGCTCTCACTCTGCTACAGCTTAGGCAGAAGAGCTGTTTGCAAACTCAAAGACAACAGCTCTGCCATCAATTAACTCTGGTTCCTTTTGAAAGGTTTACTTCACCTGTGCAGCCAGATTTCTTTTATTTTTTAAAATATCAGATTTCCCAGAGTTGACGGCTCTCACCCAACTAAATGTCTAATTGCGGCAGGTGAATGGATTGTGTGTACACAAAGAGGCACACCAAGAAGTACATGATCAGAGCAGTGCACTCAATGAAGTAACTTTCTTAAATATATTATGAAAATCCAGAAATATGGTCTGTGCTAGAACCGGTTTCAAGATAGTGATCCATAAAATGATTCCTCAGCAATGATGATTGCAGAAAGTGAAGCTAGAATGTGTTTTGTTTTTAAACAATACTCTAAGTAGTATATCATTTTCAAATAATGCTGTTTTCTCTGCTTAGTAAGCTCAGATGAGCATTACAACCGCAGTGTCTTTGTGGAACTCTTCCTAAAGAAATTTGTAGAAAAATGGCCCAGCCCTGGATAATTTTACCAAGTGAGTCAGCATAAAACAAATATTGATTTTTTAAAAAATCTCAGCTATTGAAAGTGCCAAAAGTGTCTGGATGGCAAGGTTTTTAAAACCACCCCCCAGCAATTAAATATATGACTGTAAAATCAGTCATATGAAATGCGTTCCAACCAATTCAAACCCACACACCTCTTACAGCATCTCTTAGACAGAATGCTCAATGGGTGTGCCAGCATTTATTATTACAGCTCATTGCCATGATCAGAAAAAGTTGTTTGGAATGAAACATGACTTGTTTCTCCGATCACAGGTTGAGGACCTCTCCATGTAAGGATAAAGACAGCTTTTCTATTTGAGGGACTTAAAATTTTCTAGTTCCGTGTTTCCCAAATTACAGGGTACATGCTGTAGAAAGTATGAAGGCACAACTCGGGGAGGAAAGGGGTACACATACAGTAGCATTGCAAACTCTTCCCAGATACTGCCTTAATGTGGCAGGGGAGAGACTGGTTTTATTTTCCTGAAAGGGGGCTCAGATTTCAGAAGTTTGAGAAAGGCTGCTCTAATTTTTAATTTGCACATATCATAGCCAAGTCTAATTTCTTGTCCTTGTAAATCAAAGATTTCTAAACCTTGGTGTCAATAACCATCAGGTACAGGGCCTGTTCTGACAGCAATGGCCAATGACAGCTGCAGGGAGCTTCAGGGTCTGGGGCTCTCATCCTAAAGATTGAGTGAAACTAGTGGGATGCTTGCTGGTTGTGCTTATGTGCTGTATGATCTGAAGTATAGGCTGCTTTATGCTGCCTGAGAGCTCTAATGGAGCCAGCTTGAATCTCATGAAAAAGTGAAAATTCTCCTCTCTGAGCCTCAAGCTGAATCAATGGAAACCTCCAGCCTCCATTTCCCTACAAGCCATACCTATATTCTGGATGTTACTTACAGCTCACTGACAGGATGGAACATCCCCATCTCCTCCCCCGGTGAGATGGCATAGAAGTCTGGGGCAGATGGGGGTGGGTAAGATAACGATACATGTTGAATCTTTGGGCTTTGCAGTCAAGGGAGGTGCAATCTAATGCTTTCACAGTGGGCTACATAAATTGGTCCTAATAAAGATATATTTCAGAACCTGCAAGCTTGATACACTAGCCAGTGTTAGGGATTAAATTTTCACAATCATTATAATAGAAAAACATTCTTTACTCTGCAAGTGTGTGTCTTTACAAATATATATTTATGTATTTAAGCCCATTTCAGGCCATAAAAACCCTAAAAACAACCAGTACCTTTTCAGCAAGAGAAACTGCAATCTAGAAATCTGAGGTGAAAGGCACCCAAATAAGGGCTATTTTGGTGCTTCTCTGAAGGCCTCTACTTAGCATTTGGAACTATCTTAAATCATGTCAGCCTTTCATTTGCAAGAACAGGCTCCATTCAGTCCGATCCTTACCACTCTGTATGAGGTAAACTGGAATCTCTTTTACATTGCTTATTGTCTTAGAAAGATGATATTGCATCTTGAAGACCAGCTTTTCCAAGAACCGTTGATGAAGAATGGGTTAAAAAATAAGATGCCACTTATGGACCCAATGTTTTTGTGCCATCGTCTCAAAAGAAAAGCAGTTGATACTAAAAAGCTATTCCAGATAAATACAAAATCAAGCACTAGAGCTGGTCAGAAAATTTCAGTTTCTAAATGGGAAAAGTCTCTGCAATGTTGTTTGCATAATTTCCCACTTTTCCTACCAGCTCTAAAATAACCTTTAAAAAAACAACTCTGTGTCTGTTGTAACAGTGCAAAAGTCCGTCCAACTCTTGTGTTCAAGTTCACTATCACTAATATTTTAGAAAACCTGGTGGCAAATAAAACTGTCTCAATTTAACTTAGCAAAAGTGATATCTAGAAAATTCTCAACATCAAGAGGTCTTACAAAAAAGTCAGGCTACAAAAGCATTCTAAGGCACAGTGTTTTGGAAGAAGTGCTTTCTCCCGTTGGCGTTGCTTTATACACGTAGTGCGTGAGTAGGCCCAAGTGATGCATGGCGCTGGACGTGTATGCACTGTCCCTTCCCAAGTAGCATATGGAATCCATGCCTGAAGCTTCAGACATAGGCTCCCAGAGCTGCATGGAATTCCGTTAGACATTGCACTAGCTGCTGGAATTTGGGTCTTTCCTCAGGATCTAGGGCCCAACAACAGGCCATCACAGCAAACCTGAAGACAAAAACAAAGGGGAGACATCAGAAGACGACAGCTAATCATGATACACACAAGTGTCAAGAACTTGAGTAAAGAGATCCAAGCAAAGCAAAGTTTCTTTTTTCCCTTTGACCATCAATATTTTTTTACCGTATGGCACTGTGCCAAATTGTTTTTTCAGAAGTAGCATATCTGGAGTGACCAGCAAAGGTACTACTACTGGAGGTGCTGATCTGGTTTGACAAGAGATAGACATGTCAAAGGCAGTCCAGTAGTAGTATTAGGATAATCTGATAGTGCAATTAAAATGCTTTAAAAAACACTACTTAAAGAATTTCTGTAGGCGGGTACGGAGAAAGGGAATTTTGGGAAGACAGGCTGAGACAAGGAAGGTAGAGTGGAAGAAAAATACTGGTTCTCTTTACTTATTCCACTTGAAAAATGTCTGAGTGTGACCTTTAAAACAACAACAACAATGCATCATTTAAATGAACATTTAACATAACCTGGTCGGGAAGACTGAATTGAGACTTCCTCTGTTCTCTGCTTGCTCTGAATTTAAAAAATGTTTCCTGAAAAGTGGAATAAAAACCACTCTTCCTCCCCTCTCGTAATAAGCCCACACTTACAGTTCATCAGGGCAGTTGATTGGCTGAGCTATTCTGTATCCATCCTTTAGATATGCAGCCATCTCAAAAGGGTCAATATCCACATATGGAGTCTGCCCCAAAGTCATCAGCTCCCACAGTGTTACTCCAAATGCCCACTAGGAAAAAAAAAAAAAAGTAGTTTTATACTGCAGCAAGTTAGCAGTCCAGTAGGGTTTGGGGCCTCTGTCAGCTTCAGTTCTTTCACAAAATTAGTCATGCACATTAAACAACTATTTAAACTTAATGTGTTCCTCATATTTTTGATAAGGAAGATATAAGAGCTTTATAAATGTGGCAACTCCTGTCCTTTCATGTTAAATGCAGTGCTGCTATAATTTTTCTCCCAAGATAGGAAAGTGACTTTTCTCATTTGCATCATTGAACATTTAAATGGGAATAACAACCTTAGAAACAAGAACTGGTTCTAACTTTCAACAGTAACAGATAGCTCTGACAGCACCAAGCTTTTAAACACACAAATAAAATCACAAAATGCATATAGGATAATAAAACGCTGCTTTTCTATAAAGTATTTGATTTGAAGATTTCACAACCCTTAAAAACACTAAGTTTAAGTAACAATGTACAGTACAGTTTACTTTGTAGAGAATGGAACAAACAATTATATTTACACAGGACTTTAGATTTTCACAACACTGTGCAAACCAATCCCCACAACAGGTTTGGTGAGTTAGTTACTAACTTTATATTTTGCTCAGCGGATGTATCATAAGGCATGCCAGCCCTGAAGTGCCCCCTTCTGACCACACAGCACTGCAGGCACTTCCTGCCTCAATTTTCTCTAACCAGGTTGTCTCTCTCTCTTCTCAGGGGTTCACACACCTCAGCCTTCAGCATCTCAGGCTCATGGGGCTGTTTCACTGCCATGTAGACTTCTGGGCTCAGACTGGAGCCTGAGCGATGGGATCCTCCCACCTCACAGGGTCCTAGTGCCCAGGGCTCCAGCCTTAGCCCAGAAGTCTAAACAGCAATGAAACAGTTCTGCAGCTTGAGCCCCTCAAGCCCAAAAAACTGCCCAGGGATGTAAACACAGGTTTTTAAAAAATACAAAAAGATTGATAGTCAATGGATTCTGGTGAGAGTTTTGAAATAAGCAGCAAACTAAAATTTAGGAAACTGGGTAAACAGATAATTCAAGTAAAACTACTTTATATAGTGACAACGTAGTTGTTTCTCATTTTATAACTATATTGTCTCAGAAAATTCACAAAGAAGGAAAAAGGCCCCATCTATCCTGGAAAGAAAATAGTATAAAAACATGGCTCCCACTGAACTATTTTTTTTCAACACTTTGGCTGACTGCTGTGGATGGGGAAAAAAACCTTGTAGGAACCATTTAAAAAATCAGCTAAGCCATATGAAAGAAAAACAGCTAGAACGGGTTCAACAATGTGTCTGAACCCTATTTAAAAACGGTTAAAAGCACGGATTTCTTTTTCTCAGTGCAGACAAAACCTAAATGTGTACAACTGATACCACTATGCATAATGTATTACATGCAGTTGATACCTAACATTTGTTTTTGGAGAAGCAGACAGAAGGGTATAGATCTATAAAACAGCACTAAGGTAAACATTAAGAGGGAAGTTAGTTAGGGTGGATAGGCCTTTCTTTTCAGTTTCCGAAAATGATGAAGGAATTTTAATTCAGGCACATTACAGTATTCTAGTAGTTAGCTATAGCACACCTCTACCCCGATACAACGCTGTCCTCGGGAGCCAAAAAAAATCTTACCGCGTTATAGATGAAACCGCGTTATATCAAACTTGCTTTGATCCAAAGGAGTGCGCAGCCCCGCCCCCCCCCCCCCCGGAGCGCTGCTTTACCGCGTTATATCCAAATTCCTGTTATATCGGGGTAGAGGTGTTCTATCAATTTATTAACAACATGATCTACTATATGTTAAAATGTAGCTGCATTCTGTATAATGCAAAACATTTATGTATTGCATGTTAAAGGGGCACATTTAAATCTGTAGGATCTCAGAGAGACCCTACTACATTCTGACCCCCTTGCTCTATTGACGGATTTTGTTGGACAGACTTCAGCCTAGAAGGCGCCGTTATAATTATTCTTCACACCCCCTGAGAATAAGCCTCTAATTCTGTCAATGCCAGGAAATTCATTAACTACCCTGTTATTTTTCAGCAGTGATAAAAAGGAGTGTTTGTAGACTGGGGAGTTCCAGGGAAGGGGCTCAACAGAAGAAGTGGAGCTGATAAGTACAATGTTCAAGTGGCTAGGGGTGAGTATAAACCATGCAGCTTCAATTTTATATATTAGAAATGATACACATCCATGACACAAAAGTGGCAAGACATGCACTATTTTATGTTCACCATGGCTCATGGTATCTCCTAACCAAGAGCACTTCACTGGTCCAGGGTAAAATTTCAAGAGTGCTTAAGTGATTTAAGTGCCCAAGCCCAATTGTAAGTTTAGGACACAGATGCTAAAGTCACTTACACTTGAAAATGTTACCTCTAGTCTGATCTTCACAGGACACGTTCACACCAGTGAAGGTTTAATATTGGAGATGAAATGGATACATTGTACTGATTCCACTGAATACAGCAAATCCGGCTAATGCAGGTTATTTCAGATAATAATCTACTCAATTTACAAAACAACAAGACTTTAGAAAAACAGGAAATACTTAGAACGTTTTATGCTAATATAGAAATAACCCTGAGGTAAAGCTGATCCTTTTTCAAAGTCTTGATTACGAACATAGGAACTATGGCAATATGCAAGAGAATGGGAAACTTCAGTGGAATACGAGTTATGTGTACACACACCGTTAGAAAATTTGAGAAGACTTCTAAAACAGATGAGACATGAGGTTTCAAAAAAAATGCACAACACCTCACTGCATCAAAATTGTAAAGGTAACATCATTAAATGGAAATTACCCTATGTCAGGAAAACCAGATCACATGGCTGTGTCGTTTATCAATGGCTAGTGCTCAAACTACTGCACAATCTTAACCAAGGTTCTCCAGAGTCACTCTTACTATTGATTGTTGAAAACAGTTCTTTCCAATATCTACGGTTGTTGAAAGTCTTAATGAAGGAAAAGGTGTAAGGCATTTATCCTGCAAGCTGATCAGCACACGGCGACCACGGATATCAACAGGAGTGAATGGTACTTAGCATTACATAAGAGCTTCTTTTCACTTCTCAGAACAGGGCCTTCAATAAGAAACTCAGGGCAGACTGAAAAGAGCAATCTGATCTCAAACTGGAAAGGAGAATTTTTTTAATGCATGGTATGATCTATATGACAAGGATTTACAGACTGGACAGTTGTGTTGGGGGATAAGAGCAACAATTTCATAGCTTGCTCTATGTCAGGGGTAGGCAACCTATGGCACGCGTGCCAAAGGCGGCACTCGAGCTGATTTTCAGTGGCACTCACACTGACCAGGTCCTGGCCACCGGTCAGGGGCTCTGCATTTTAAATTTAATTTTAAATGAAGCTCCTTAAATATTTTAAAAACCTTATTTATTTTACATACAACAATTGTTTAGTTATATACTATAGACTTCTAGAAAGAGACCGTCTAAAAAAATTAAAATGTATCACTGGCATGCGAAATCTTAAATCAGAGTGAATAAATGAAGACTCGGCACACCACTTCTGAAAGGTTGCCGACCCCTGCTCTATGTAATGAATGTTTTGAAGATGCTTAGTGTAAAAAGAATACTAATGTATTATACACTAAATGCCCTGTGCATTAAATTCACATGTAATGTGTCTCAAGGAAGTGAGAATGCGAAATGTAAGGGTTTGTACAGTAGATAAATTCTGAACCATTAAGACAAGCTGTATGACAAGCTGAAGGCCATCAGGGTAATTTGCTCAGGAAACCATTCTGGCATACTTTTCAGTACTGCTCCTGTGTGCTAAAATTATTCTGTTGTAGCTCAGTCACACACTTCCATTCTGAGAAGACAACCCAAGAAAAGCAGCGTCACAATTACCATTGGACACTACAATCAGGGTTGGAAGGGACAGTACATTTTAGATTCACAGAAAACATAGAATACATGAAAACGCCAGTTCTTGAAATCAGGTGAATTGTTTAGATAGTTTCAGGATTTAATCAGCAAGTCCTCTGCTCATCTGTAGGTCTCTAGATAGAAGCCAGGCTATTAAAGGGTAGCAGTGACTAAATGTCAGTAACATTTCATAATTGTTTAGTGGTATATACAGAACGTGTTCCCTCCTCTACTTTAGGAGACAAGTGTCTGCGTCAAACACACTACTACACTTGATACCCTTGCTGGCAATCTCAGAGGTGCCAAACCACAATGGGAAAGGAGTGAACAATCATGTCGTTCAAGAGGTGATCCCTCTATGTTAGGGCTGGATACCATAGGCATGGCAGTGCGTGGTGGAAGCAGGTACAGCTGCTGTTCTGGATATATATGTTATGCACAGAGGACTTCAGTCTTCAGCACTGTCAATTCAACTCCTTTTTTCATGAATAAATTGTGTGAAAAAGGTGTTTAAAAGAAACCCATATAACTATATACTGTTTTAGAAAATGTAAATATAAAACTTACCACATCACTAGCACTGGAAAATTCATTGTTAACCAAGCTTTCAAGAGCCATCCACCGCACTGGCCTGTTTTCATTATCTCCCAGACAATGATAGTCCATGGGGAATAGGTCTCGGGATAGCGCATTGTCTGTAATCTTGACCTGAAGTGCATCATCAATGCTGATTAAAAGACAATAAGAGCATTTAGTTATGCAACACATGAATTATTTACAGTTGCGTTACTGCATCTTTTAAAAATATTGTATATATAGGACTTCACAGATGAGCTTGATCATGTTACCAAGGTTTTAAAGCCTAACATTTTCCCAGATCATGACACTGATATGCTGCCATTACCACTAAGTACATATCAGTTAACTTCAGGATAAAGTGATTTCAAAATTATTTTTGGCTATGAAAAGATGAGCAATAGAAAGCCAGAAGTCTCAGACATAAAATAAAACCATACTGTTTTAAAATGGGGAAATGTCCAGTTAAAATACTCAACAACTTTCTCTGTCCCTGTAACAACCAACCTTCCCAATTCCCTTCTTGTTTCCTTGCAGACCGATTTTACAGGATAGTAATTTAGGATTTCTCATATCTGATGAAACAAAGGTTCCACCTAATGGGTATTCTGCCTCTGACAATTGTCTGTATCAGATGCTTCAGAAAAAGTGCAAGAAAGCCTGAAGCAGACAGTTATGGAAGAACCTACTTACAGCGGCAAAGTTTCTTCACTTGCAGGCTAATTTACACTCTTCAACGTGAGAATTTTGTATCTCTTCCAAACTTTTTAAAAATCCTCTAACTGTGGATATTCTGATAATCCACCTATGTGTCTAATCCTTTTGCAAATCCTGCTAAACTAGACATCTTGTGGAAATGAGAGCCACAAACTAACTATGCTTTGTTTAAATTTCCTTTTATCAATTTTGAATTTGCTTTTCAATTTAATTGAATATCCTCTTGTTTTTATGAGGAAGGGTAAGTAAAAATTCTTGATTTATCTTCTCTACACCATTTATTACTGAGCATACCTCTGTCACACAGCCTCTTATTCATCTCTGCTCTAAAATAAGCAGTCCCAATCTTTTCAATATCTCTTCATATGGGAGATATTCAGTGCCTTTAATATCATGTCACATGCCTCTGAACTCCATCTATTTCTGTTTTATCCTTTTTGAGATATAGTGACCAGAATTGAACACAGCAACCTAAATTTTCCAGAAGTGACTTGATTTTTGACACCTCAATTCAAAGAACAAAAAACTAAACTTCACACAGGTTGGAAACCTACTCTTAGAGAAAATTCAGGAATTAAATCCACTTTAGAACAGAACACTAACTATGGAGTTGCAAACAGGTGACTTCATAATGCTTTGTTTTAGAATTCTATTTTTAATTCTTGTGTCAACCAATTATCTTGGTAATTAAGTAAGGCACTACGAGGATCACCTTTTATGCCTATCTAAAGATATTGCAACATTTGCTACCCTCCAATATAATAGTTTATATCAAGGTCAAGATAGTATATATTTGTTAACATTTGAGCCACTTCATTCTAAAGTTACTTCAGCTCCTCCTCTTTTGACATCTCACACTTATAGTACCTGAGGAGACTCCTACTCTTTTCAATATCCTCTGGTAGAGATCAATACAAAGAAATCATGTCTTTTCTCTACAGTGTTATTTATCTTCCTTAATGACTTGCTTTACTTTCATAAGAACATAAGAATGGCCATACTAGGTCAGACCGATGGTCCCCAAAGCCCAGTATCCTCTCTTCTGACAGCAGATGGTGCCAGATGCTTCAAAGAGAATGAACAGAACAAAGAACTTTATCAAGTGATCCACCCCAACATCCAGTCCCAGCTTCTAGCAGTCAGTTATTTAGGGACACCTAGGGCATGGGGTTGCATCCCTGACCATCTTGGCTAATAGCCATTGATGAACTTATCCTCCATGAATTTAACATTCTTTTTTGAACTCAGTTATACTTTTGGCCTTCACAACATCTCCTGACAACAAGTTTCACACGGTCACTGCATGGTGTGTGAAGAAGTACTTCCTTATGTTTGTTTTAAACCTGCTGCCTATTAATTTCATTGGGTGACCCCTGGTTCTTGTGTTATGTGAAGAGGTAAACAGCACTTCTCTATTCACTTTCTCCACACCATTCATGATTTTATAGACCTCTACCATATCTTCCCTTAGTTGTCTCTTTTCCAAAATGAACAATCTGTCTTTTTCATCTCTCCTCACACGTCCGGCTCTAGGCTTTTTGCCGCCCCAAGCAAAAAATTTGCCGCCCCAAGCTCAGGTGGGGCTGGGGCTCGCAGGCGGCGCTGGAAGCAGAGGGAGTAATGTCGCCTTCTCCCAGCACCTGCAGGGGCTTTACCCCCTCCCCTGCCCAGCCAGGCAGAGAAGCCCCGATATAAGGGGTGGCACAAGGCAGCACAGCAGCCAGTGCGCAGATGAGGCGGCACAGCTCCGGGGGAGAGATAGCTCAGTGGTTTGAGCATTGGCCTGCTAAACCCAGGGTTGGGAGTTCAATTCTTGAGGGGGCAATTTGGGGATTTAGTTGGGGATTGGTCCTGCTTTGAGCAGGGGGTTGGACTAGATGACCTCCTGAGGTCCCTTCCAACCCTGATATTCTATGATTCTCCCCGGCAGGACTTGCCCTCTCCTCCCCAGGTAGCGGCTGGGCCCTGGCAACTCAGCATCCCGGGGCTGGGGCTTCCCCTTCCCGCTGCGGCTGGGGGCATGGCGCTCTCGCCCCATCTAAGTGGCGCAGCTCCAAGAGCACAACTGCCCCGAAAAAAAAGGACGGCCAGAATGCTGCCCCGGAAATGTGCTGCCCCAAGCACGTGCTTGCTTTGCTGGTGCCTAGAGCTGGTCCCGTCTCCTCATATTGAAACTGTTCCATACCCCTATTAATTTTGGTTGTCCGTCCCTGTATTTTTTCCAATGTTAATAGATCTTTCTGGTAGTCCAGTGTTATTCTTTCAATTTTTTTCAAGGCTTAAACATCTTGAATCTGGAAAAATACTGTGTAATAGTGACCACAGGGTACCATCTTCTCCAACTTTTACTCATAAGGGCTCTTGAGATTTCTGCAGATAGATTTCAAACATTTCAAGTCTGGATATGTTTGTATAGCTTGTGGATAGAGTATCAAAAATGTGAACCACAAAGCATTAGTTTCATAATCACTTTCACACACGTCTTGGATTCTTGGCATGGTGCTTAGTTATTACTGACATCTTTTTACCAAAGTGATATTATTTCATAATCCACACCTATACTAGCTCTGCATCTAAAGCTACTTATTTACAGAAACTGGAATTTCAATGAACACTGAGGAATGACTGCTTTATCAGGAATTTTTGAAGTGGCTCTCTGTGGACCATGTATCGCCATAAAGAAAGCTGGAGTCAGTGCAAACACCATACAGTTAAGGCTACAGCATTAGGTTTTGTGGACAGTGAGGGGCAAAGCTGTCAGTTATGGATGGACAAAAGTTGCCTCACTTATTAAACTGCCTTTGTAGCAATCCTCCAAGAGTTACAACTGCTGCTGGGGTGGGGGGGCTTAACTGTTCCTTTCTATGCCTTCAAATATTTATTTAAATTTAATCTCACCTCTGAATTTTCTGGGTTTCTAATCAAGGGGAAATCAGAACAGACTTTTTGGGGAACGTAAAGGGGAGCAGGGCAGGCTGTGACTTTTTTATTTTACATTTTGAGGGCTCTCCCCACAAGGCAACTGTTTTGAGACCTGCTCTTCTCTGCCTTTAAATGAAAGGTAACATTTCAATTAATCATTTGGCTATTTTAAGAAGTCTACCAGGGACAAACAAACCATTCTGATATTCCTGATGTGCCAGAGAAAAGCTTCTCATACGCTAAGGGTACATCTACATTACCTGCTGGATCGGCGGGTAGTGATCGATCCCCAATCGCTCTGCCGTCGACTCATGTACTCCACTGCGGCGAGAGGCGGAAGCTGAGTCGACGGGGGAGCGACGGCAGTCGACCCCGCACTGTGAGGACGCGAGGTAAGTCGACCTAAGATACGTCGACTTCAGCTACGCTATTCTCGTAGCTGACGTTGCATATCTTAGGTCAATCTCTCTCTCTCTCCCTCCCCCCCCCCCCCAGTGTAGATCAGGCCTCAATCTAAACAGTGTACTAGATCTCACCAAGTCCTTTTAAACTTGAAGTGTAAGAAACATTCTGAGACATGATCAGGCAAAAAAACAAAACATTAGGAGTTTTCAAAACACAATTAAAAATTAATTTTTTTGCATCCTATCTCAAAAACAGTTCATCTGATTCACTTCATATCTGGACACAGACCACACGTGCAGCATTTGAAACATCTGAGGATATGGTTTGAGGTGGGAAAAATCAGATTTATAATGGAAAGCACATCTCAGCCATAACCACAGACAGGGTACAATCTGGCTCCATATTAGTCCTTTAAGACACTGTACTTACACACAGTTTCTAGCAGCCAGGTCTTTGTGAATGACCTCCCTTCTTGCTAAATAACTCATTCCACAGGCAATCTGAATAGCCATATGAACAAGATCCTGCTGGGAAATTGCCTGCAACAGCACAGAAAAATTATTAACATCACAAAATCCTACAAAGAGAGAGTTGAGTGTCTGCCATGTTGAGTATTTTTTCTCAATTTTAATATTCCTTCGTTTCCATAGTTTTTATAAATGAGATAAAATATCTGCAACCACTCGTTCTTCAGGACACATCATTGCTCCCTGGTATTTCTTGATACTTATTCAAAATACTTAACCCTTAATTTCTGAAAATGCCTTATTTTTAGCTGTAAATTGGCTTTGAAATATTTCCTAGCTTTCATTTTCCTTGTCACCATTTTTTCACATAAATCAGGGATGGACAGACAAAATGGTATCTGGATCCACCAAAATTTCAGCCACCCTGCTATACACTTCTCTGCATATTACTCACAAGAGCAGCACTCATTTTCAAGGAACAGACCACAACCAAGTATATAAAAGGAGCAGCAGCCTCAAATTTATAATTCCTATCCACTGCTGGAGACTGCAAGTCTCAACACCTTTGCTCCATATCCCTTTGTAATTTTGTCAGTGTTAATTAATGGAGAGCTTTGTAGTGAGAGTGTTTAATTTTAAAATGTAATATATATATGTGCAAACATTATGTTACTGCATGTTGTCTGCGATTTGAGACATTTACTACTTCCTGTGGCCTGCTCCGGGATACGGACACTGATTTAGTATTATATCATTGCCAGGGTCCTATGTATTCTGCAGAATTCACTTCAGAATCCACCGCTTCCCACAGATGTGTGCTTCAGGTGCTCAGTTCACAACTGCTGCAATGGTTATGCAATTTCTACACAAAGTTTTGTAGTAACATTCAAAATCTGAGGCAGAATAAAATAAATTGAATCTAATATCAAATGACATAAGCAATGTTGTACTGGTCACATTTAATGCAATAAGTCACAGATAATGATGAGAAAACAGAAGAATGCCAGCTAAATTGGAGTTTGCTAAATTAATTGTTTTAAAGTATTTGAATGAGTGAAGGAGGAATGGCACTCTCAATGAAGGACTCAGGTTTTATGGTGTTAAGTATTTCCCACTTTCTTACTTTATTTTACATTAAAAGAAAATATGGTCAGAGCTAGTTAATACAAGTCAGTTGTGAAAACACTGTCTGTTTGCATTAACAGGGCCTTAAAGCAATAGTACATGAACTGTTATCAAACTGGATTAGTGTTTTCCTGCAGACTTTCTTTGGCACATGGACAGCGAGTCCTATGTGAATATTCAGAACACAAACTCCATCAGATGGGCTAATATCTGGATGCCTGGGAAGGAGACAGTATCAGTCTGTAGACATTTGCAATTTAGAGATCAAGCCACAAAGCAAAAGCAGACACAATCATAGTCCCACAGTTGCTCACAGTACAATACCTCTGCAAATTAACAGGAAGAAAGCCCTTGACTGCTTGGTACTTAGTGTACAAAGCAGGGATGACTTATTGACCCCAGTGAACCAGATAGCCCATAAAAATAAATAAGTGACAAGTCAATCATCTAGAGAAAGCCAGGCAGTGTTGTGAGAGAAAGATTAAGAAGAGCATGATGGAAAATTATCTTAACAAAATACACAGGCATGTGTCTGCTGTGGTTGATAAATCCTTTTTCATTCAGATTTTCCGCTTACAAGTGTTTTGTTCCATTTCGTTTCTGTATTAGACGATTAACATTTACTAGGGCTGTCAAGCGATTAAAAAAATTAATCACAATTAATCGCACTGTTAAACAATAACAGAATACAATTTATTTAAATATTTTTGGATGTTTTCTATATTTTAAAATATATTGATTACAGTTACAACACAGAATACAAAGTGTACAGTGCTCACTTAATATTTATTTTTGATTACAAGTATTTGCACTGTAAAAAACCAAACTAAAAATAGTATTTTTCAATTCACCTAATACAAGTACTGTAGTGCATTCTCTTTATCATGAAAGTTGAACTTACAAATTTAGAATTATATACAAAGAAAACTGCATTCAAAAATAAAACAATATAAAATTTTAGCGCCTGCAAGTCCACTCACTCCTATTTCTTGTTCAGCCACTCATTCAGACAAACAAGTTTGTTTACATTTGCAGGAGATAATGCTGCCTGCTTCTTGTTTACAATGTCACCTGAAAGCAAGAACAGGTGTTCTCATGGCATTGTTGTAGCCGGTGTCTCAAGATATTTACATGCCAGATGCACTAAAGATTCATATGCCCCTTCATACTTCAACCACCAGGCCAGTGGACATGCATCCATGTTGATGACGGGTTCTGCTCAATAACAATCCCAATCTGAGTCAGATGCCACCAGCAGACAGTTGGTTTTCTTTTTTGGTGGTTTGGGGTTTGTGGTTTCCACATTGGAGTGTTGCACTTTTAAGACTCCGGAAAGCATGCTCCACACCTCGTCCCTCTCAGATTTTGGACGGCACTTCAGATTCTTAAATCTTGGGTCAAGTGCTGTAGCTATCTTTAGAAATCTCACATTGGGACCTTCTTTACGTTTTGTGAAATCTGCAGTGAAAGTGTTCTTAAAATGAACAACATGTGCTGGGTTATCATCTGAGACTGCTATAACATGAAATATATGGCACAGCAGGAGACATACAATTCTTCCCCAAGGAGTTCAGTCACAAATTTAATGAATACTTTTTTTTTTAAAATGAGTTTCATCAGCATGGAAGCATGTCCTCTGGAATAGTGGCCAAAGCATGAAGGGGCATACGAATGTTTCGCATATCTGGCACGTAATACCTTGCAATGCCAGCTACAAAAATGCCATGCAAACGCCTGTTCTCACTTTCTGGTGACACTGTAAATAAGAAGAGGGTAACATTATCTCCCGTAAATGTAAACAAACTTGTTTGTCTTAGCGATTGGCTGAACAAGAAGTAGGACTGAGTGGACTTGTAGGCTCTGAAGTTTTTGAGTGCAGTTATGTAACAACAAAAATCTACACTTGTAAGTTGTACTTTCACAACAAAGATTGCACTACAGTTCTTGTATGAGGTGAATTGAAAAATACTATTTCTTTTGTTTATCTCTAACACTGCAAATATTTGTAACAAAAATAATATACACTTTGATTTCAATTACAATGCAGAATACAATGTATATGAAAATGTAGAAAAACATCCAAAATATTTAATAAATTTCAATTGGTATTCTGTTGTTTTACAGTGCGATTAAAACTGCGATTAAAAAAAATAATCGTTATAAAAAAAAATTAAGTTAATCGCGTGAGTTAACTGCGATTAATCGACAGCCTTAACATTTACTATAAATCTCAGTAGCACAAACACTATTAAAATGTTCCATCTTGGACGACAGTAAGTTCTCGGGTAGAAAAGGTCCCCAACCTCAAATTAACTTGTATACTTCTCATTTGTGTTTCTCTTAATACGATCAGTCCCCACTGCCCATCTCAAAAAAACATGACAGTTGCCAATAAATCATTATATTCAATTTAGTAACATTAAAGCAAGCACTTTTGGTAAATTGTACAGGTTCCACACTCTCCCTCCCCCCCCCCCCCAACTATATGATACAAGTCAAAGGAATTAGAGATAAAAAGATTAATTCACTTCCAATTTGCTGAAGTTTCTTTAAGATTTTCTTTTAAAAACATTAAGAACTTCAAAAATTAAGACCATTAATGGAAGTGTTATGATTAACTTATAACAAGTGCATTAAATATCAATAAAGCATTAAGTATGCACAGTTAAGTAACCAAAATTAAAGAATTGTCAAAAGTTAAAGTTGTGCACAACTAACCCCCCCTTTGTGTGGGCGCATTATAATTTAATTCTACCGTCTGTTTTGTTTTCTCAAACAAATTTTTAAAAAGTTAAGAACGATATACCTCTGTAGCATCTTCCACTGTGCGGTTCTGTGTATGTTAGATACATAGCCTATTACAGATATTAATGTATAATATATGCATGAAAAGAAGTGTGATACTGAATTATGTCAGAAATAGTACACAGCTGCGTAATCAAAGTGCTCACACATTAGGAAGTGGAGTTCAGGTTGCAGTATAGTCTTAACTTTGGCATTTCTGGGTGGAGTGAGAAACTGCAACATTAACATTTTCTTAACAAAGTTTGCTAGAAGTTTTTCTGAGAAAAAGGAGGAAATACTCCATACTCAAGCTATTTGGCTAGACAACCACAATGCATACAGAGAAGGGCCACTAGGATGATCAGAGGAATGGAAAACCTGTCGTATGAAAGGAGACTAGAGGAGCTCGGGTTGTTTACCCTAACCAAACGAAGGCTGAGGGGGGATATGATTGCTCTCTTTAAATATATCAGAGGGATAAATACCAGGGAGGGAGAGGAATTATTTCAGCTCAGTACTAATGTGGACACAAGAACGAATGGATATAAACTGGCCGTGGGGAAGTTTAGGCCTGAAATTAGACAAAGGTTTCTAACCGTCAGAGGGGTGAAATTTTGGAACAGCCTTCCGAGGGAAACAGTGGGAGCGAAAGACCTCTCTGGCTTTAAGATTAAGCTTGATAAGTTTATGGAGAGAATGGTTTAATGGGATAACGTGATTTTAGTCAATTAATCAACAGCATGCCATCGCTGGTAAATAGTATCAATGGTCAATGAGGGTCTGGCTGGAGAATCTTGCCTACATGCTCGGGGTTCTACTGATCGCCATATTTGGGGTCGGGAAGGAATTTTCCTCCAGGGTAGATTGGCAGAGGCCCTGGAGGTTTTTCGCCTTCCTCCGCAGCATGGGGCAGGGGTCGCTAGCTGGAGGATTCTCTGCAACTTGAAGTCCTTAAATCACAGGATTTGGGGACTTCAACAGCTGAGTCAAGGGAAAGGGGGTGGGTCAGCTTTTGTGGCCTGCATCATGCGGGAGGTCAGACTAGATGATCATACTGGTCCCTTCTGACCTTAAAGTCTACGAGTCTATGTAAGGAGTGCACACAGGGATGTAAAGGGTGCCTATGGAGTTACCTCACTGAGCACAGTGAATGCGGCAAGGCCCCTACAAAGAACTGCTGCTTTCAAGACACACCTTAGGAGATGGGGTCACACTGACAGATTGAGTTACAACACAATGCTGCCTCACTTCCAAGATGCACATGACCTGCGGATACCATGTAGCCAAGAAGATGCATAAGGCAATGGAAGGAAGCTGTTTGGTGTTCAGAATTTTTGAAAACCAGGCAGATATTTAACTACTGATTTAGGAACCTAATTTTAGACTCCTATATTTGAAATTCTTATTCTGCTCTACAAATTTTAATAGCACTTCACTAACACCATAGGTCTTTAGGCAAGTAAACTATCATAACATTTTAAAAGAACCTGTGATGTTCAGCTGTAAAATATTAATCTGAAGACAGAATGCAAAGTGAAACAAATGCTTAATGTAACACTCCCAATTTACAGTAAAAATAGGGAGTTGCTGTAATCAATAAGACACTGGAGTCAACTGTCTGTGATAAATGCACAGAAAAATTACTTTTTTTGTGAACCACAAAATATACACTTCCCATGTCTGCTTTTAAGTTTCAACTACATAATAGGCTTTCCAATTCATTCAACTCTGGAAAAGTCATCCCTGTAATGTCTCCACAGCTGGATCTTTAAGTCTGAACAAAGTTCGACCAACTAAAACATTGAGTTTTTAAATTAGCCATTTCTTACCTGAGGATTGTTGGCCTCTACTAACTTGCACTGGCGCAGGAACAGCTTAAGGTTCCCCCAGTTCATGAAAGGCAGCAGCACCATGGGTTTCTCCCCATCTTCTATACTGACATGGGTGATAGGGAGCAGGTTCCTGAAAGATGAGAGCAGATGCTCCTAAATTTTAGGAAGGTGATATCTGATCAAAGTTAGCAAGTTGTCTAAACAAAAGAACCCAATATAAATGATAAATAGAAGTACAGTAGAAAAGGCAATAGATTATTTAACAAAATAAAGTAACAAGGTCTCCAAATAACTTGAAGCTACATGTTTAGGAATGTGTGCAAACATCTGAGTAGTTTTCCATCAAGAAAAAAAAACTTTTGCATGATCCAAAGCTGATTAAAGATAAAATCCCACTGAAGATTATTCTTTACAAACTATGAGTGTATCTTCAGTTTGGAAATGTATCCATCTCTTTAAAATGCACCTATACATGTTACAGATTCCATTATATTACAGTAAGCATAGTTTATAGAACTGAGCAAAAAATTGGCATTTCCATTTTGCTGGAAAATGATTGTTTGACATTTGTCCTACACAAGGAAGGAAAGTCAATATTTGAATATTTTCATGGAACAAAAGTCTGAAACACACTGGGTTGGAAGTGCCAAATCAAAATGTTTCATTCTGAGTCAGCTTAATTTTAAACTCATCTGCCTGTGGTGCTGCGGGGATTTATGGGTGCTGAAGCTATTGTGTTATTACGGGCTGGCTGAATCTCCTAAGATGCACCACGCAAAACAGCAGATCCAGTTTAATGCTGAACTGACAAAATAAAGTGTTTCGGTTCTGTTCAACAATTTTAATCTTGGTCAAAGCTACCCACATAATATTTTGTTTCAAGTTTTCCCCAATTTACTATGGAAAAGTCATTTACAAAATTCTCAACCACCACTAGTAATTACTTTATATAGTACTTTTGATGCAAATTCCAAAGCCCTCTTTCTAAAATCTGTTTCAGCATCCCAGATCCAAGAGAGAGAGAGAGCGCGAGTGTGCATGTGCGTGTAAAAAAAGAGCCCCTCCCCAGAAAAAGTTTACAATCTAAACAGAAATCAGATTGGGGGAGAGGAGAGAAGAAAGCAAATATACTTCTACACTGAGCATTTTCATGGGAAGCATTATTTTGTTTATTTCCTTTAATCCAATCTCTCTTTTTAGCCATAAACTAGAACTTTAAATTAAGCATGACTCTGCAAAGAAAAGTGACTTAAAAAGGCAGTGTGGATCTTGTTTGTGTTTCAATGATTTCCGTATCAAACTCCTTCAGATTACAAGATTGCTCAATTGCCAATACGTGAGACTTGAATGTCAAGCTGGATTTGAATGTCAAACTGGGTTCCTTCCTGCTCACTTGCTATTACCAGTTAAAGATCTTGAAGACCAAACGAAGCCCTCAGTGATATCTCAAACCCCAGTGAATGGAGATTGTCTTGGATGACGTACATAACTCCCTTAAATACAGACTCCAAAAATCATGACAATAATTCATGTACACTACACCCATGCTATTAAGCATTCTTACATCCTAGATGCTTCCTATTTAGCAACACATAGTACTGCTTGGAGGCTTATATTTTTTTTGCATCCATTCTACTCCTTGTTGATCATTGTTATAACACTATTGGCAGGATTTATCTCTTGATATGCAAGAATACTTAATAGCGGGAAGTATAGGTGGTGACAGAATGTACCCGAGTCCACACCCTATATATGCTACTGTAATAACACTGGTCTACAGTTTTTGAGAAGTCGTCTGCTTCAGAGATAAAATGTGCTATTTATTATGTATTTTGATGTGCTGAATTCAAATATGACAATTAAAACAACTCATTGGCTACTGTTTCTAAGATATTTAAGTTTTTACATTTTATGTCTATGTATATTGTGTAGATAGAGTTTTAATCATAAATTGTAAACCTAGGTCTTTTCATGTGTTTATGGTTGCTTTACATGATAATATTTCACCTGTCCTGTTTATGTAACACTTTAAAAATCAGCAAAAGGGTTATATAAATCAAATTTATTATGAAACAAAAGGCAAAAAACTATTATGTACATAGTTTAGTCCTATTCAGTGTCTACTCGGCGCTTCTTGGCTTGTCTCTTGTATTCATTAAATGGAACATCTCTTGTCACTGTCCAGCAATAGTCTGCAAGCATTGATGGGCTCCATTTGCCCTGATAGCGTTTCTCCATTGTTGCAATTTCCTGGTGAAATCGCTCGCCGTGCTCGTCGCTCACTGCTCCGCAGTTCGGTGGAAAAAAATCTAGATGAGAGTGCAGAAAGTGTATCTTAACTTACATGTTGCAACCTAATCTATTGTATGCCTTGTGGAGGTTTTCCACCAACAACCTGTATT